ACGATGACCTTGTTATGGATTAAATAGGACAATTCTCCCCCACAAACGATGCAATATGCTTATTCTGTGACAGACACTTCCTCTATGATAATAGGGGAGAACTCTGGGTTCAGTGTCTAATGTGTCAACTGTGGGCACATGAGCAGTGCTCTGGGGGCAGATAAGGATTTTTGCCGATAGTTTTGTGAGATATTTGTTTTTTTTTATTTTGTGACGTTTGTTTATTTTGTGTTTGTGTGTTTATCCTAATGAAAGATATAACTTTTTAATAGGGCCCATATTCCATACCCTCTAGCCCAAAGTCAAAAATGTATGGTGCACATTCATTCTTTGTTTTGCCATAAATAAATGTGTTATTTTTAAAAGAAATTAATATTGTTGTTTTATTACTACGTCCCTACATAGTATGTAAACATCTTTCCACATCATCTAAAAAAATAATAACCAAATTATTAAAAAAATACAAAATGGGGGCCCATATTCGGACCAGTTCCTCTATTATTTTTAAGGCTTATTCGACTGCCCACTAGTACCGCCTTTAGAAAAGCGGTGTGACTGCTTTTCCGATGGTGTTGTCGATCGAACCTACCGAAATTTCGGTATTTCTACCTAAATGGCAACAGACCTACCAAAATAATTTTACCCTTTTTGCCGATTTATCAATCGCACCCGAAGCTGCTTAAGTTATGTTTAAGGAGAATTCATTCTATTTATATTTATTTGTTACAAACTTATTTTGTAGTAGGTACCTACCTAAAGACTAATAAAACTCCGATTTTGTCCACTCTCTTAAAATGAATTAGTCAAAAGTAACTAATTATAAGTCATATTTGACTAATTGTCATAGCGAAAAAGCAGTCACTAATAATTAGTCAAATTCTACTGAATGAAATAGTCAAATTAGTAGATTTAAATTTAAAAAAAGTTTTGACCCAGCCGGGGATTGAACTTAGGTCTGTCACTTGTCAAGCTTGTCAAGCTGTTGTCATCAGCCGCTCTTATAAAAATTAATTTTATTTGTCAATAAATATTGGTCAAATATTTTAAAGTTCAATATATTATTTGTGTTGCAGTTTTGAGGTAAAGTTTTTGCATCTTTATTTGTTTTATGGGTCATTTAACCATGGACCTTAGGTATATGCATTTAATTTAAATAATACTTTATTGTTGGCCGGACACGATTAAAGAAATTAGTTACTTTTAACTCTCAATTAGTCAAACTTTAACTATTTACGTAGTAAAAAGTAAATATTTATAAAAGTGAAAACGACTATTTTATTAGTACAAAATGCTGGTACTAATTCAAATAGTAGAATTTTGACTAGGTATTTCATTTTTAAAGAGCATATAAAGTGTTTATTTTTTGTACTTGTAACACCCAAATCAGAACCATAGTAACATCCGAAACAAAGAAAATTAAAAAAAAAATAGTAAAATGTTATTTATTACAGTGATTATGTGGTAAATGGTTAGTGAATATTATACTTTGGAGGGCTGTAATTTTTAGAAATGTTTTACTAAGAAAAATCGCTGAATTTCAAATAAATGTAACAATGGTCAGGACATAGAGGCAGAATCGTGAAACACCCGAAACGCACCCTTTTCGACATATAAAATCGTAATCCTATATGCTAAACTGTACTTATTTTATAATTTATATAAAACAACTAAAAACGTAGAGAATAAGGACTTTGATTGAACAAACGTAACACCAGTGGCGGCTCGTCGTATAAAGCAACTGAGGCCGGGCCTCACATGTTAAAATTATAATATAATTCTAAATGTTGAATACATAACTTATTTAAATATAAAACGTTTTTAAACTAATTTCCAGTCATTAAAAGTATCAAAACATCGAATAACCATTAAAGTTTAAAATATTTCCTTTAAATTTAGCGCGCACCCCTTCCTACTTTAATTCTAAATGCTTAAATCATTGCCCGACCGCATAATAGGGAAATAGTAAGCCCCGAAATTTGCGCTTCATATACGTCACACATTGCCGATACAACATCATGCTCCCCACCGCTGCACGGTGCCGCCGGCACCCCCGCAAGGCAGGGATAATACGCGAATTTTTGTAGACATTGAGGCCCACAAAGTTGGGCTTGTACCACAGTATATGGAAGACAGCAGCGTCAGTCCCGAGATCTGTGCGGCTCGCTTATCAGCCGTTATAAAAGACTGGGCAGGGCGTGGAATGTTTTAGTAAACAAAGCTTATTAATTAGATCTATGCGTGTTTTTAGTTTCTTATTTCTGTTTAGTCTTTGCCTTAGCGTTAAAATTGAAAGTTGTGATAAAAATGCAAGCGTAAAATACATTATTGTGTTGTGAATTCATGTAAAAATAATTCAAATAATTATAAAAGATCATTTTTATTTTAATATACTATTATATTAACACACAAATACCACAGTAAAAATCACAAAAAATATAAATAAAAATATTCATGTTTTTTTTTATAAACTGCTCGTCATAAAAATCGACGCACCTAGTTTTTTGGAAAATATTTGAAAGCTCGTTATTGAAAAATTACTGAATCTTGAAAATCTTTGGAAATTCTGAATAGCTGATTCTTTGACTCTTATGTCAAATTTTGGGAATACGATATTTTGTATATAGCATTATACTACAGGGTGTTAAACGAATAGATGTATTTTTTCCGAAATTTCAAGTTATTCCCATTCATGAGGCAGTTGAGTTTGATAGTCGTAATACCCCTCCCTAATATAAGTAAGGTAATCCCTCGGAACGTTTTCGAGATTTTGTGAATATCGCGGCTTACTACGATTATATGCCAATTTATCGAAAATTGTTCCCAGTTTAGTCCAAAAAATGGGCAATAGTGGATTCTTTGACTTACGTCTAATTTTGAGAATAAGATATTGTGCACATAGCATTATACTACAGGGTGTTAAAAAAGGGATGTTTTTTTTCCTAATAACAGTTAGGTTATCCCTCAGGACGTTTTCGAGATTTTGTGGATATCTTTGCTAACTACGATTATATAGCAATTTTTCGAAAATTGTCGTTATTCTCCACTTAAATCCCAAAAATGAGCAAACTACGAAAGGTATCGATTAGTTATCAACACATCGTTTCCCCAATTTGCATGTTCTTGTGCCCATCTTCTTCTAGCAGAAAAAGAGGGCAGGCAGCTCTTCGTCTTGCGTGGTATGCAATCTTACATCCGTCATTTTATTTTTTTAAATGTGATTTGCTGTTTGCAATTTTTTTTCATATTCGACGACAAAAATGACAAGAATAATTGAAGGAAGGAAGCTCCAAACCAGATATGCGCCATATTTTTTTAAACTTCCATAGTCAACCGATTGCATGAATATAGCCTGCATAAGTTTACGAGAATAATTTTGTTTGGTTTGCATTTTTATTTTGAATTTAACCGAAAAAAATTGGTTTTGTGTGAAAGATTTCACTATTAATAAATCACGCAACGTACAATGTACGTCGTACATAAACCTACCTTAAAACGCTTTGTTGATACCTTTAGTAGTTTGCTCATTTTTAGGACTTAAGTGAAGAACAACGTGAATTTTCGAAAAACTGCCATACAATCGTAGTTATCCTAGATATCCACAAAATCTCGAAAATGTCCCGAGGGATTACTTGTTATTAGGAAGGGGTATTATGAATATCCGGCTCAACTGCCATGTGATTTGGAATTTTGGAAAAAACTTCTCTTTTTTTAACACCCTGTAGTATAATGCTATGTGCACAATATTGTATTCCCAAAATTAGAGATAAGAGTAAAAAAATCAACTATAGTTATAGCAATATATTGTTGATTTTTTGGACTAAAATGAAGAATAACGTGAATTTTCGAAAAATTGCCGTACAATCGTGGTTAGCCAAGATATCCATAAAATCTCGAAAATGTCCCGAGTGATTATCTAACTGTTATTAGGGAGGAGTATTAGGACTATCAAGCTCAACTGCCCTGTGAGTGGGGATTTGGAATTTTGGAAAAATACATCTCTTTTTTTAACACCCTGTAGTATAATGCTATGGGCACAATATTGTTTTCTCAAAATTAGACGTAAGTCAAAGAATCCACTATTGCTCATTTTTTTGGACTAAACTGGGAAATAACGACAATTTTCGATAAATTGGCATATAATCGTAGTAAGCCGCGATATTCACAAAATCTCGAAAACGTTTCGAGGAATTACCATCCTAATATTAGGGAGGGGTATTACGACTATCAAACTCAACTGCCTCATGAATGGGAATAACTTGAAATTTCGGAAAAAATACATCTCTTTGTTTAACACCCTGTAGTATAATGCTATGTGCAAAATATCGTATTTCCAAAATTTGACATAAGAGTCAAAGAATCAGCTATTCAGAATTTCCAAAGATTTTCAAAATCGATTCAGTAATTTTCCAATAACGAGCTTTAAAATATTTTCCAAAAAACTAGGTGCGTCGATTTTTATGACGAGCAGTTTAGTTCAGTGTTAAATCGTTGAGTTTCATATACCTACTGCGCTTGTACATTATTATTTTGTAAAAATGAGCAGTACTTCCTGGGTAATGTGGAAACCTGCTGAAAGAATAAATAAAAATCCCACCTCGTCCCGCACTTTTTGTATTATTCTAGCTAAATTTTGAAAATTCTTTTCGTGAAAGAACATATTTTTAAATAATATATTTTTATTATTTAGATTCTGAAGTGTTCCAAAACGCAACCCCTTGAAAATTTCAAAAAAAATTTCCTGCGGCGCCATATAGCATGGGCCTCACCTTAATGAATGGTCACTAGCCGCCACTGCGTATCACCCGAAACGAAGAAATTACCCTTTAGTAAATGTTGCATATTATTTAAGTTACATTATTTTTTTACGGTTTTGTGATCATAATAAAGTAAACCGCATAATTAAAATCACAAACAAATTTTGATTTAAAAAGCTTGAAAGCCTTCGCGCAGCGTTTAAAGTTTTCGTGGCGAAGCCTGTAAGCGCGCCAGTATTTCGCGCGCTTGCACCGGGTAAAGATCCCCACACAAAATATCCTGCTTGCAATAACGCGATAACGTGTGATAAGTTCCGAGTTTAACCGACTTATAAACATTATTTTTTATTTAAGTGAAGTTTAAATATTGGTAAGAAAAAACAATTAATTTTAATTATCAATTATTCATTACGATAGGTAACGATTTTATATATACAGTATAATAAACATTTGTAAAAAAAAATAAAAAGCGGTCCAAGTCTTTTTGGGTAAATATACCCTATAGGGAAACTAGGGGCTTTGGTAATTTTTTAATATGGTAATTTTTAATAAATCGATTTTATTATAAATAATATAAATAAATATTTTTTTATATAAAAAAAATAAAATTGGTAATTTTTTAATATGGTAATTTTTAAATAAATCAATTTTATTATAAATAATATAAATAGATATTTTTTTATACGCAAAAAAAATAAAATTAGTTTTTTGTAAAAAACATATTTTGAATTGAGTATTTGTACGGCCTCTTAAAATGACAATATACATATATTTATTTATTATTTCTTATAATTCTGTCTCTATTTATTACCAATAAATAGTATTTTTTTATAATTGTTTCTCCTTTTCTTGGAAAATGTATTTATAAATTAAGTGCCCAACCAATCAAGCATAATTGCCACAAACAAATTATTTATCAACAAAACCATATAATTATTTTAATACATATTTTTTTTGCAACGTACTTGAAATTAAAACATGTCTTTAATGTAATAGGTAACATATTATAAAATACGTAGCAAATAAAAAATACTATACTCTCTAAAAATTAATTAGTCAAAAATGACCTATTTAATAGTTATTAGTGGCTGCTTTTTCACTTGTCCCATGATTAACCAAGGAATACCATGATATCCAAAAATTTAACAGCCAATTATTATGTAAAATTGCTCCTTGAATCAAATGTCGTAAAAGTTAAAAAAGTAGAGCAGTTTTTGAGATATAGTCAATTTTCCATTTAATATGGAATTGACTATATCTCAAAAACTGATCCACTTTCATAATTTTTGAGGGTATTTTAGGATTCAGGGGACAATTTTACATAAGAATTGGCTGTTAAATTATGGGATACCATGGACCATGGTACTCCATGGTTAACCATGGTACAAGTGAAAAAGCAGCCACTAATAACTGTAATAATTAGTCATTTTTAACTAATTCATTTTTAGAGAGTAAGCTAGGTACTAATCAGAGTTGAAAAAAATGAATTAAGGTTTTAATACTCATTATTAAAATAATGAGTAATAAGTTTATTTTTCATTATGCATTACTTCTTTTTAAATTATTTTAAATTTGTAATAATTAATTTGAGTGGTCAAGGAAGATATTTTTATTGCATTTTTTTAATTTTTGCACTGTTTGCAATATATAGAAGTGTAATTCATCTTTTATTAAAGCATGGACTTTGCGACCGGAAATAATTTATTATTTAAAAGTAATTAATTTTATTAATATATATATATATATATTAATAGTCACCTTTATTGAAGGAATTTTATGAAAATTACTAATCTTCTCCGAAAAATTTTGTTTGCAGCTTATTTCATTGTACAGGGTGATCCCCTATAATGTCGCCCCCCTTTAACTTTTTTGTTTTAAGGGTCCCAAAAAATTTAAAAGTGTGGTTATGTAAATTAAAAATACTTTTTTTCTACGTATAAAGAAAATTGGAAAATTGATCAGTATACAGGGAAAAACAAAAAGTTTATTTTTTTTCAATGGATCACCCTATATATGTATTTATTTTTCGATTCCTTGTAAAATTCTAAGCATATTTCATATAACATACCATATACCTAAATTTAACAGTTTCTGAAATATTTAAATTATTTTTAAGATAATAAGTTGAAATAGTTTGTCTTTATCTGTCTGAGTACGTCATTTTTACTTATTTAACAAGACATATTGACATAATGTCACTATAGTAATTTATTTTCAATAAAAATTTTGGTATACTGAGGCTTCTTGATTTCTAACAGTTTAAAAAAACATTTAATGATAACATTTCGAATGCGAATATTTTAGAAACAGTTGAATTTAGGTATATGGTTTGTAATATGAATTATGCTCAGAATTTTACAATTGTAAAGGAATCGAAAAATAAATTCATATATAGGGTGATCCATTGAAAAAAAATAAACTTTTTGTTTTTCCCTGTATACTGATCAATTTTCCAATTTTCTTTAAAGGTAGAAAGTATGAAATTATTTTTTAGTTCCTAAATAACCAAACTTTTAAATTTTTTGGGACACTTAAAATAAAAAAGTTAAAGGGGGGCGATTATAGGGGATCACCCTGTACATAAATGATTTGTATGAACAAAAAAGTTTAAGGAGCCCATCAACCCCCACCCCTGATCATTTTTCACTGATGTAATGAATAATGTCTTCGTTACACATTTTTTTTACTGCGTAATGTACGGTCTCTCATTACAATTTTTTTTTATTTTTTAATGAGTAATTACTCATTAATTTTTTATTAAGTAATGAAATTATTTTTTATTAAAAAAAATGACGATTGCATTATTTTTTACATTAACATTTTGGTAACTCTGCTACTGATTGCGTGGTGATTTTTTAATTTTATTGTGTAATTTAAACAGGAAACTATTAAGGTTATTTTAATATTATCAAAATATTTTATCGCCTATTTCGAAAAAAAGCAAAATTCTTGACGTCTATAGGTCAATTTTACTGACACACATGTCCCTTAAAATTTTTGACAAGCACTTTTTTAAAATATTAGCAAAAAAATATTAGTGAAAAAACAAAATATATTTTATACATATATTACGTATATGTGACTAAAACTTTAACTTTAGTTTTAGTTTAAATTTAATAAATTTCAAAAATCGGTTAAAAAAATCGAAAATAAATATTTTTGTTAAAAAATAACCTGCAATTTAATGATATTTATCTTTATATCTTTTATGAAATTTAAATGGAATTTAAACCTTTGTAAATAAGTTGACTCCAAAGCAAATTAAATATCGTGATGATGTTTATAATGGCGTTTAATGTATTTTTTTAATGATCAATAAAGTTAGTTTGGTATTTTCGTAAGTGTAAACAAAACGTAAATTTAAATCCTAGAATACAGTCTAGAACGACTAATGCCCACTATAAAATGTATTCTTAAATTTAATTAAGTTAAAAGATTACTATTTTGCAGTGACAACTTTATTTGTAATATTATATTTTAATCCTATTATTATTAACCTAGGAAATTAGAAAGTAATCCGGGAGAAAATGATTACAAAATGTAAAAAGTTGTTTTTACTAAAAAAATTACAATGATTTTTTTTGTAATTTGCATTACCATCTATTTTTTACTTTTTGGAATCATGCCACCCTGATAAATATAAATATTAATTTTTAAATACATCAATCCAAAACCAATATTATTATTATTATTATTAGTTTTGATTTATTTAATACACATTTAAACTTCAATGCCTGTAAACAAAATGGTTACTTAGGGCTATTAAACAGAGTATTTACCTTTTTTAGACCAGTGCAGAAGCCTTTAAAAATGGTAAAAAGAGAAAAAAAATAACAGTAGGATGAAACCCATTGGAAAAGGAGGAGAATATAATAAAAATTAAAGAAAAAATAAATTACGGGCGATCTGAGTTCGGGAAGTGGGAGGGGGGGGGTTTTAAGGGTAAAAAATTGTTTATCTCGATTTCCGGCAAAACTACAAGTCCTATGGAAAAAAGTTAAATGTCAAAGTTGTAGGTAATAAAAAGATCTACAACTTTTGTATTTACAATTTTTTCACATAACCTCAAAATTTATGTGAAAAATTCAAAAAACCAAGTTTTTGGATTTTTATTTTTATCTTTTTCAAAAAAAAAATTTTTTCCACGAAATTTGTTGAAAACTTACCTTTTTATGTCCCAAATACACTGTAATTTATTTGATTTGAAATATTTATTATTTCGCCTTTTTTAAAAGATAAAAATAAAAAACCAAAAACTTGGTTTTTTGAATTTTTCACATAAATTTTGAGGTTATGTAAAAAAATTGTAATTACAAAAGTTGTAGATCCTTTTATTACCTACAACTTTGCCATTTAACTTTTTTCCATAGGACTTTTAGTTTTGCCGGAAATCGAGATAAACCATTTTTTACCCTTAAAACCCCCCCTCCCACTTCCCGAAGTCAGATCGCCCGTAATTTATTTTTCCTTTCATTTTTATTATATTCTTCTCCTTTTCCAATGGGTTTCATCCTCCTGTTATTTTTTTTTGTTTCAAAAATTATCGACCCTGGTCTATTTTAGTAATTAGTTATAATTTCATGACCTGTCAACCAAGTGACACATTTAATTTTAATATTTTGTTGTCAGTTTTAATCCTCTCATAGACTAAAATACACTATCTTTTGCAGTAAATTTATAAATTAATAACAATTAAAATGCATCACATTTCTCATTAATGCAGTGCAAACAGCATTAATTATAATTTCGCTAAACAGCTTATTTATGTCCTATATGAAGCGTTGCAACTACATGATTAAAATCATAAAGAATGATTTATGCACGGGATAAACAGAGTTTACGTAATAATAAACTGAACGAATTTTTAATTTGATAAAGATTTATAAACAGTTATTTATGTGGTATAGGGTTGGTAACTATGCAGACTGTTTTATGCTAATGCTGTCTTGAGTTTATTGTTTTGTTTATTAGCGGTTTGTACCTACCATATTAAATCGCCAAAATTATATACTTTTGGTTTAGTTTGTAAGTAAATTCCCACCAGGATCCTGAGAAGTTAACTTTCCAGAATACTGAAACAAAAAAACCCATTTATTTTGCCGCACCCTGTATATATGGCAAAATATATTTTAGTTGGTGTGCGGTAACCAAGCAACTACAAGAGCTGTTTAATACTATTCAGGATATATTAATTTAACGGCTACTTACGAGAGGTGGCAAATAAAAAGAAAATTAACATTAGTAAATATTTGTAAAGATTGTAAACAGTTCTAAAGCAAGTATTTCCTTATTAACTGCCGACCCTACAAAGCATGCAAGATCATCATAAAAATCCATTATTTCCTGAACCCAAAAGTGAGTTAATATAAT